ACAGCATCGTGGAGGATGCTAATGAGAGAGAGAAACGGATGGAAACAATGCGAAGGGCCTGCACGATATATGAAGGCAGGCCATCTAAATGTCTGAGTGACTAAGTATCTCACTCGGAACCCATTTTTTGCCACAGTATGAGATAAATAAGGATGTGGCAGGAGTCTGAGTTTATTTTTAACGTGAGATGTTTTACGAATGGTTCGCACCTATCAAGATCTCAATCTATTCGGTTTTGGGTGTGACTTTCTGTTGCAATAGATAAAGAAATGACTAGGATAGTTCTATGTTGAAGAATTCAGGCTGAGAGAGAAGCAAATGAACTTAGAGCGCAAAAGGAAGAAGAGGAGAAAGCAAAGCGAATTCAGGAAGCCAAAGAAGGTAATTTGTCGCGACTTTGAAAGATTTTCAAAAGCATAGTAAAAGCTTCTTACAAGTTATTCATTAGAATAATAATGTCGTTCATAAATTAGCTGAAGCAGCAGCGGCGTATGCACAGTCACAGCAAGCTTATATGGCTCATCATCAAGCCGCTCTAGAACAGGAGCAGCAGCGAATTCAAGTAGGTTGCTTTTGGCCCATATGAACCTTCTAATTTTTCTTACTTTTTGGGCCCAACAACAAGCGGCACAACTTGCACAAGTCGTACAGCAACAGCAACAGTTTGCTCATCCACCTCCTCTGACGAATCAGGTGTCTGCGCAAGTCTCACATGGTCAAGGTGGTTTTTTCATTGAATTCTAAATTAAGTAAGGGAGACTAAGTTTATCTCATTATATTTTCAATGAGTTATTCGTTTGAAGGTGATCTCAACGCTGAAAATGTCTTCAAAGAAATGGTGAATGTGGTAATGGGTGGTGCAGCGGCTGCACTGGGCACAGGTTAGTCTTTTCGAAACTCTCATAAAATAATTTATTAGCGTCACAATTATCCCGTTTAGCTGTGACACAACAGCCACCACCTTCCATGCCTGGCGCACCTGGACCAGCTGGACCACCTCCGCAACTTTGGGGCAACACTAAGATCACTTATGATGTGAAGGTATGTATGAACAAATATAAAAACATTTTGAACACATGATGCATGTCGTGTGTTCAAAATATTTTATAATCTCCTTTTTTTAGTATTTGCTTTCGACGTCTCATAATTTCAAGAGCAGGGGAAATCTTTTGTGCACATCACGTTTCATTGATTCTCCTTTTTGAGGTTTTAAATCTGTATGAGCAACCTCTCAACGCCA